CTAAAATGATCAGATTTTCTGATCTAAAGATTCTCTTTTGAGGGGAGAATTTTGCGCTGTTGCGTGCAAGCTGGGCCCGAGTGTGCTTTTCATGACAAGCCCAGAGGAACTGTGCTTTCTCCCAGCAGGAGCGCACCAGGGTAAGTGTGCTTAATGGAAGCAGGCTGTGTGCTGTGTGCTGTGTGCTGGCACGCTCTCCCCACTGCCCCAGGCAAGCAGGGAGACCGGGAGAATCTGTCTGCGCCTGACATCCGACTAGTCTCGTCCTGTGGTGCAAACAAGAGCCCCTCTTCTTCAAGGGAGGGGGGGGCAGGGGCTCCTTTGATCTCCCTCCCAAGCGCAGCTATGCCGTCACGTCTCTCGGCAGCTCAAGTGGGGCAATTAGGCCATTATGTGTTTTGCAGCTTCACTGCAAAAATTTCCTGTAGTTCTTACCCGAATTCCAGGCGAGTTGAGCTCCAGGCAGATGCTCGGGGCAGGACTGGGGGGGGCCATGTTGCTGTGGTGAAGGCACTCTGTGCAGGCCTGGTGCTCAGATACGCTGCTCAAGTACGCTGCTGCTCGAGTACGCTGGGAAGGACAGCGAACTCACTGGAGGTAAACACCAGGGGGCGATCTTCTTGTCATTCTGCGGGTGTCAGTCCTTCAAGTCCCTGGGATTGCAGCTGTCCTGAGGGAGGAGCAGGAATCGTGATCCAGTCATCTGGTTAAGGTCTCAACCTCTCCCTCTCGTTGTTTCCGCCCCCCCCAGTTCTGGCAGTATGGGCAGTGGGTGGAGGTCGTGGTGGATGACCGGCTGCCGGTCCAGAGAGGCCGCCTGCTGTTCAGCTACTCCCGCACGCAGAACGAGTTCTGGAGCGCGCTGCTGGAGAAGGCCTACGCCAAGTCAGTGAGGCCGCCTGACCACGCCGGCGTGCCCCGCCCCAGCCCCCCTGTGGGCCCGGCTCACGGTGGGCTCTCCCGTCCTCTCTGCCAGGGTCAACGGCTGCTACGCCAGTCTGAAGGGGGGCAACATCTCGGAGGCCATGGAGGATTTCACCGGGGGCATCGCCCGGTCCTTGCCCGTGAAGTCCCGGACCCCCGCAGTGCTGTGGCGGGCGGTGGGAGAGTCCCTGTCCCGGGGCACACTGCTGTCCTGCTTCATCCAGGTGAGCGCTGTGACCGCGGGAAGCCGCAGCCCCCTGGCCCCGGCAGGCCCTCGCTGACCGCTGTGCCCTGCGCTGCTCCCTGTGCAGGCTGCCAGTGCTGCCGAGGTGGGGAAGGTGACCCCCCAGGGGCTGGTGAAGGGCCACGCCTACTCCATCACGGACACCAACAAGGTGAGTGTGCGTGCACGTGTGTCTGTGAGTGTGCAAGCACATGTGTCTGTGAGTGTGCAAGTGCATTTGTCAGTGAGTGTGCGTGCGTATGCGTTGTGACATTGCGCTTGTGTCTGTGAGCGTGCATGCACATGTGACTCTGTGTGTGTGTCAGTGAGTGTGTGTGTGTGTCGATGAGTGTGGCACGTTGGTGACTTTGTTTGTCAGTGAGTGTGCATGTACGCATGCTGGGGACCATGCACGTGTGTCGGTGAGTGTGTGCGTGTGTCTGTGATTGTGCTTGTGTTGTGCTGCAGGTGAAGGATGGCTCGGCGGAGGTGTGTCTGTTCAGACTCCGCAACCCCTGGGGCTTTGTCGAGTACTGCGGGCCCTGGAGTGACAAGTAAGACACAGACTGGGGCAACGGGGGGGGGGTGGGTGGTTTCTAGACTGGGGTGCTGGGGCTGCTACTTCATATTTTATAGTATGTCTGAAAATGACATTGCAGGAAAATTTAGAAGGGTCATGGAAATCACTAAGTCACACATGTGCAAGGAAGATTTTGTCACAAGATGACACTGAATTAGTGTGATGATCTTTCCCTATTACAGGGTGCTGCTACATTAGAATGAGCAGCCTCAACACAGAGGCAATTACCTTTGTGGTGAAACATCAAGCCATAGGAGTAGCAGAACACAGACATCACAGTGTTTGGTACAGCTTGGGTGTTGGCATGATGCAGGGACTGAGGCAGAGACTCATGCAATAAGACCAATATCTGTAGCAGGGGTGCTGTGGTGCAATTGGCATTGTTTTAAATCAAGGAGGGCCCTGTATCTCTTGGCACGATCAGGCCATGTCTGTGCACTGATACATTGTGTGCGCGCTGAAGGTGCGAGGACTGGGACAGAGTGGACAACGCAGAGAAGCAGAGGATTAAGCTGATCCGTGCTGAGGACGGAGAGTTCTGGTGAGTCTAGGTGGATGCCAGTGAGAACAGTGTGTGTGTTTTGATGTAGTAGAGTCTCCTGGGATACATAACGACTAGCGGCTTTCAGCACAGGTGCAGTGTGCTGTTGGGAAGCTTATACTTCCTGTTATTACTTGATGATTTGCATATAACTGAGGAAAACAGTGTTAACAATAGTGCTAACATCTAACACCCATCCCTCCTCCCCTCTCCTCTTTTTCCACTTCTTCTTTCTCAGGATCAAGGCGGATGACCTCTCGCACCTGTTCACCACAGTGGAGATGTGCAGTGTCAATCCGGATGCCCTAGGGGGCGCTCAGTCCCTCTGGAGGATCACCGCTCATGAAGGGGCCTGGGTGCCAGGCTGCTCTGCTGGGGGAAGCCGCAAGTTCAGACGTACGTAACCCATGTGTCCACTTGGTCTCTCGAAGGGAAGAGTTCGCCAGTCTCCAGATGTAGATTGCAGATGTTTCTGTGTTACTTAGCGAGTGATGTGTGTCAGACTCTCTTTGTCCCTGTGTCTGTTTTTTATCTGTCTCTCCCTCCCCTCCCTCTCCGCCCTTCTTCCATCTCAGGCACCTTCTGTAAGAACCCTCAGTTCCGGCTGATCCTGTCCCAGCAGGACCGGGAAGAGGTCGCCGAGGGCGATGAGGATGAGGAGGAAGAGGCTGCGGAGGACGGCGATGGCGTGGACGACGAGGGCGGGGAGGTGGAGCAGGCGGGGCAGCCTGCGGGCAGAGGGACACAGGGCAGTGTGGTCCTGGAGCTGCTGCAGAAGCACCGCAGGCAGAAGGACAAGATCAGCTTCCTCTACATCGCCTTCCATGTCTACAGGGTCCGTCCCCCCCCGGGGTCCCGCCCATCGCCCACCCCCTCGCTGTCTGACTGTGGGAGCCTGATACCCATCTGTCCCTGAGCCTCTGCTTCAGTCTGTCTGTGATCCAGTCAGAAGCTCTGCTTGCCCACCTGTTCTGTCTGCTTTGCGTGGAAGATATTAACTGGCTTTTATCACAGCACAGCACTTAGGAGACGGAGGTGTTAAGAATTCTCATTTTACTTTGGTGTCTATTAAATCAAAGGTAGCAGCCACAGACTGCAGTTTTACTCATAATTCTAATTCCTATTTATAAGGACTGCATGCTCATACAGGCCACTGTAAACCAGGGGGGCTCTGTTTCACTCTGTTTGTCTTTTCATATTCCCATCGCCACATTGTTAAACCCTCTTCTGTCTTCTTTCTTTTCAGATTCCCCCAGAAGTAAGTATCCTTTTCAATATTACGGTAATGTGCAGAATATAGTCCAGCTTGTGCAGTGCTTACCCTTGTTAAAGGTGACTGTGATCTTGAATGTGCCGCCAGAGTCCCTGTGCACAGACTGTGGCTCATGTATAGTGTGTGTGTGTGTATGTGTGTGTGTGTGTGTGTGTGTGTGAAGAGCAGTGTGCGGTGGCTGTGCAGTGTGTTTGGAGGGTGGGTTTCAATTAATGTGACCTGTTTAGGGCTAGAGCTTACTTAGAGTGGTCTCGGACACTGCAGTCCGGCCAGCCACCTGGCCTCTGCTTTCGGCCGATTGATCCTTAATTGCTGCATTAACTCTGCTGCGGACGGGGACTAACTGGGTAACAAAGCCTCCGAGGGAGAATTGAAGCACGTGTCCCAGGCCTAATGGGCGTCCCCTCTCTCTGCCCCAGCTGCAGGACGTGCCCGGCAGCCTGGCTGCCGACTTCTTCTCCTCCAACAAGCCGGTGGCGCGGTCCGGCAAGTACCGGCAGCTGCGCGGGGTCAGGAAGAAGGTCAAGCTGGAGCCCGGTCACTACGTCATCGTGACGTCCAGCTACAAGCCCAACGTCGAGGGCAGCTTCTTCCTGCGCATCTACGCCAAGACGGGCAATGAGCTGGGGTGAGGGGGGTTGGCGCTGCGCTCGCACTGTCGCGCTGCTGGGAGTCATGCTGGCACCTTGCACTGCGCTCGGAGGCTTTTCTGCAGCCTGCGGCGCGCTAGGCCAGTGTACTTGACAGCACAGGGGAGCTGTGGGCACAGTTCAGAGCAAGTTCAGGGCCTGTCCCCGCAGCACTCGTGCACGTTGCAGTAAAGCTCTAGGGGGAGCTAGTGGGCTGAACTGAGCCCCCTGCATCCCTGGGGGAACAGCTTTATCACTTAACCAGGGCTGCTAAGAGATGCTCTTTGGACAGGCTGGGACAGTCCTGGGACTCTCTTTTCTATTTGGAGCTTTTTCATTGTCCCGTCCACGTCGGTCTCCTGGCCCCTGGCAGCCTAAGGAGCTTCGCTGTCCACTCCAATGAGTGTCCAATCCGCTGTGAGCTCTGCACCCCTGCTCCAGAACACCCCCAGTAATTCTCCTGTTTTCTTTAGGAACCAGGGTGGCTTTGACTGCTCCTCAGAGTTCGCCACGGTGAGCCAGCCCCCGTCTCCTCGTCCCCCTTTCCCCTGCGTGTGTGTCTGCCTCAGACCCGGCAGGACAGGGGGTTTGATCCCTCTCGTGCCTGGTGTTGCACTGCAGCCGGTCGGTCTGACTGCGCCTGTGTGTGTCTGTCTGCCAGGTTGTGCAGGCCGAGCCCATCACCGCAGAGGACCGAGGGACTGTCCGGGGCCTGTTCGAGGAGCTGGCGGGGAGGGTATGTGCTGTCCCCCTGTCCGCACTCCCCCTCTTCTCCTTCTCAGCTCTTCCCTTATCTCCCCCTCCATCCCCATCCCAGCCCAGCACCCAGCCCGACCACTGGATCAACCCCCAGCCACCACAGCAAGTGAATGACAGTCTGTAATCATGGCCCGCACTGTTCTGACAAGCCGAAGCAGAACACTCAGCGTCATGAATGCAATCTACACAACAGGCCCATCTGAGGACAATCACATCTAGTTCGACATTAAAATTCCTGTCCCCTCCAATTAATTTTAGGGAGAGCCAAAATAAAAAACAGAACTTGGCTGAAAACCTCTCCAGATGTCAATCTGAAGGCAGCGGTGTTAAAGTGTAAGATCCAACGTGATCCTCTGGCTGTATGGACAATCTACTGTGCCTTGTTCCCCCCTCCCGCTCTCTGGGTGAAAGAAAAGGAGGGACAAAAGGCAGTGATCCGGCCCGGACTCTGGGAACGCTGACTCCCCACTCTGTCTCGTTCCTGCTCGCTCCTAGTGGTCCTCACCCTGTCCGTCTGCCTCTCTCCAGATGGGCTGCACGGGCCCTTATAACCTTCTTTCCCTTCTCTTGTTGTCTGCCAGGATTACAGGCTGAACGCGGTGGAGCTCATGAGGCTGGCCAGCTCGGGTGAGATACCTGCGCAGCGCGTTTGTGAGGGGCAGGACTTTCTGTGGACTCATACATCATGTTCTGTGTATGGCCATGTCCAGGAAATTAAGAAAACCGAATCAACTCATAGGAATTGTATTAATAGGCAGCATAGTGCCTCACACCTCAAGATCCTGGGTTCGAGGCTGGTTTAGAGCATCTTATTGTGTGCATTTTCTCCTTTATTCAAAATACAGGATTTCTAGGTTGATTGGCATCTCTAAATTGCCCCCGTGTTTATGTGCCCATGCTTGCAATACTCTGCCTTTCCAAGGGTGAAGCAGTTACTCGAGAAAACAAAATAGAAAAGATCTGTGCAATATGGTTACTGACCAGCAGGTGGCAGGAAAGCTGCTTGCACAGCAACAGCTTGCCTGGGATACTGGGAATGATGGCTGACACAGAGCACAGTGTTTCCAGTGAAGCCTCTCTCTGTCTTCTCTCAGTTTTCCCAGAGAACTTCCAGCTGTCTCTGGAGACGTGCCGCAGCCTGATCTTCGGAGAGGATGTATCCTTTACCCAGCAGAGAGGGAGGCCCAGCTTCCTAGCGGAAGCCCCCGGAAACATATCAGCCTCTTACTGCCCAGCACTTTCTTCTGTTCCTGGCTTTACAAGCTTCTGTGATCTTTTGGATGCTGGACTGTTAAAGCCACACGGCAGCAGTTGTACTGTAATTTGCACTTCTCGCATGTCTGTGCAGATTGAGTCAAAATGCATTATGACTGGTGTTGGCTTCTCTGCAAAACCTCTGCAGCTGAGCTGACAGATCCTGAAGTGGATCAGACTGCTATGCACCCGGAGTCTGATCTGGTGCTCTGAGCTTTTGTGGAAACAGGGTGACCCTCTGGTCCGATCTGGCGATGAAGGAGGGTCGTGCTCAGACTGAGCTGATCTTCCTGAAATTAGCCATAAGCAACCTTCCAGGGCTGTGGGGATCTGGGGAGCAGAGCATGGGATTAGGAATCCGAATCCTTATTTGGCTAAAATGCTAAGAAGGGATGGAGCTGGAGAGACGGGAAGTGTGGATTCGGAGTACATGAAAAAAAAATGGAAAACTGAAAACCATGGGATTTGGTTTCACTGTGTTTTGCTGAGTTTTCCACTTCTCTGTGACGTTATTGCTCCTGACTGCCACTGTCAGACAGGAGGAAGGGGCACCCTCAGCCTGGGCGAGACCGAGCAGCTGGTGGCGTCACTGCGCAGTCTGCAGGTACGCCCACACTGGCGGGGGCTCTGCACCAGGTCGCACGAGGGGCCCGTCCCTGCCTGCCGGAGCACCTGTGGTGGGACTGGGAGAGACCTGTCCTGCCTGCAGATGTAAACTTAAGGGTCTTTACTCCAGTGGGCTTGAAAATGTTGCACCTGCAAGAACGCCCAGTGTTCTACTTCACGAGCATTTCAGACTGCACTTGTACACGATTCACAAAAGCACGGAGTGCCTGTCTGACACAGAGAGCTGGGGGTATACTGGAACTCACCCCTCTCCTCTCTCTTTCTGACAGGCCATCTTCTCTCAGTTTGATGAGGATTCGTCTGGGACCATGAGCCCCTTTGAGCTGAGCCTGGCCTTGCAGGCAGCTGGTGAGTCAGGCAAGGTGTCCACACAGGAGGACATATTCACAGACGGACACACATGTACAAATAATAATAATAATAATAATAAAAAAAATTGCTTACACTTATATAGTGCTTTTCTGGACACTCCACTCAAAGCACTTTACAGTTAATGGGGATCCCCACCACCACCACCAGTGTGCAGCCCCACCTGGATGATGCTCCATTCCTCTCCCTACACACCAGCTCTTAGTGGGGAGGAGAGCAGAGTGATAAAGCCAGTTCAGAGAGGGGGATTATTAGGAGGCCATGATTGGTAAAGGCCAGGGGGGAGATTTGCCCAGGACACTGTGGTAACAGCACTACTATTTTCATGAAACGCCTGGGATTTTTAATGACGAAAGAGAGTCAGGACCTCAGTTTTATGTCTCATTTCAAGGACAGCACCTTTTACAGTATAGTGTCCCCGTCACTATACTGGGGCATTAGGACCCACACAGACTGCAGGGTGAGCGGCCCCTACTGGCCCCACTAACACCTCTTCCAGCAGCAACCTCAGGTTTCCCAGGAGGTCTCCCATCCAGGTACTGGCCAGGCTCGTGCCTGCTGAGCTTCAGCTTCAGGTTCAGCTTCAGCTTCAGTGGGCTACCAGCTGTGAGAGGCAGGGTGATATAGCTGCTGACATACACGGGGATATACGCTCATCAGCAGCTCAGGACACCTCCCAGGACACCAGGGAGACACTGCCAGCTGAAAATAGAAGAGGGCAAGAGCTAGGTTTGTCTTTTATCTGAGCAAAGTCAGGCTGCTGTATTTTCACGAACTAGAAAAAGACAAGTCTGACCGCAGAGGCAGCTCGTGTGTCCTCTAGAATCGCCCGGTGTTCTCTTCACCAAGTCCCCAGTGACAGACGCTGAGCCCAGATGTGCTCGGTGTCCTGTTGACAGAGATACAGACGCCATGTCGCTCTCTGTCCCTCCCTGTCCCTCTGCAGGGTTCCAGCTGGACGCCCCAGTGCTGCAGCTGCTGTGGCTCCGTCACGGCACGGCTGACCTCTCGCTGACCTTCGACGGCTTGGTGGCGTGCGTTGGCAAGCTGCGCAAACTCTTCGGTACGCCCGGTTCGCTTGCCCTGCCCGTCCTTTTCAAATGTTCGTTTCTCCTTTTCCGCAAAGCAGCGCGTCCTTTTACAACTCGGCAGCAGCTGGGATTAATAGGAACAGGTACCAGCTGGGTACGATTGCACCTGTCCAGCCCAGTACTGCCCGTGGAGAGGTGACCTTTCCTGAAAAAAGCACCAACCTGCCCTCCCTTTTATAGAACAGTGACAGAGCAAGTGACACCAGTGTCGCCACACGTTCCTTCCTCTGCTTCTCCCCACAGATCTCTATGAATCAGAAGGCAGTTCGGGGGTGAAGGAACGTGGCATCAATGCGGTAAGCTCCCTCCCCGATCCTTTGCTTCCCCGCAACATGAGTCAGCCTCCTGCTAGCTGCCTGACCTTTCCTCTGGGGCCCCGGGTGCGAAGGAGGAGATGTCGGCCGCCTGTCCGCGTGGTACTGCCACAGAGAGAGGGCCATCTGCAGCCTTGCCTGCTCCCAGCCTTCACCTCGTCCCGTTCATTCACCACAGCCCTGTGATTTGCACTGCCGATTCAATCAGCAAGTGTTTTTTTTTTTTCTCGAGAAGGAAAGGGATGCCAGGGCTCGTTGATCAGACTCCCTGCCGAGCACGTCGGGGAAACGGATCAGATCAGACTGCGCTTGCTTCACAGTTCCGACCTGTTTCGGGTCTCGCCAGCTGTGTGCTCTTTGCACCAGACAGACTGCACCGATCGGAAAGATAGAAGTGCTCTCAATTGAGTGTGTTTCTGTGCAGATTGCACCTGGAATAAAAGTGAACCCCAGCGCCCTGTGGCTGGTTTATCTGGAAGAGCCCAGCAGCTGGCAGCGTTTGGAATAGGTCCTGGTTTTCAGCTCCCTGTTCTTTCTTTTTCAGTCAGTTGCTCTCTGCCGTTTAAACAGGCTGAATAAAGGCGCTCTGTCCGAACATACCCAGACTCTGTGCCCCAGGGCCTGGTGTGTTGCTAGCCAGCAGATGGCGCACAATCAGCTCAGATCCGCAGGCTCGATGTGACGTTCCTGACGCCTGCTCCGCTCTTCAGACTGGCCCTGAACTTCCCAAGTTGGGCCTCTCTGTGTCCACGGGCTCAGCTTCCCACTGGTAGTTCTGCACACGGCCGTCAGGCGGGAATCAGGGCTGTGAAAATCACCCAGCGAGGGCCGAGGCGCAAGCTGACGGCCCGGCCTGTTCTTGCTCTTTTGCAGTGGCTCCTCAGGTACATCGGAGTGTGAGGTGTGGACCCAGCCCCCCCTGCCCTCTCCCTCATCCCGCCGGGAAGCAGCTCGCCCTTGAGGCGCTGGCCTGTGAGACACCTTTCCTGCCTTGTCCAGCTGCCTTTTCCCCTGCTGATCCCGCCGCGTCCCGAGATCGAAGAGTCTCCGCAGCGTCAGCGCCACCTCCGGCTGACCCGCTGTCCCGGCCCGTGCTAAGTTGGTTGTGACGCTTCGGAGCCGATCTCTGGGGCAGCACAAATTTGGGCAGGGGGGGGCAGTTCCCTCCATCACCAGGCCGGACAGGACCGTTAGCCGACTGTGAGCGGGACACCCCCATGTGACGGCGCCACCAGGACTGGGTGTGCTGGTGTCGGCCAGGAACCCGAGCTTCCTGTGGGGCAGGAACTCCTGCCACAGGGCCTGACTCTGGCAGGACTGTGCCACCCCTCCGGTCCCAGAGTCCGCTCCTGTGTGACTCAGCAGGTGCTGTTGTCCCGGGACGCCCAGGCTTCGGGCTCAGCGCAGGGTGGAGGCCAGGCTCCCCAGTAGGAAGCTGGCACGTCTTCAGGCGACTGAGGGTCCTGACCAGCTGTTCCCGAGGTTCTTGACTTGGGGGAGGGGGGGGCGGAGGGTATTGGACTTTCACGTCTGGCTGAAGTACAGTTAGCAAATTACTGAAAAGTAACGTTTTTGTTTAAAAAGATAGCAATTTCATAAAAAGCAAGAAGGCAGGTAGGGTGATCAAAATCCAGTGCTGTGACTTGGAGAAGAAAACAGGATTTCAATCCAGGATGCCTGAAATATGTGGGCTCTCTTAGTTGTTGTTTTTTTTTTGGGGGGGGGGGCGGCATTAAAAAACGTTTATTTTGTCCTCAATTTTCAAGAGCTTTATAGTGCTGTATCAAGCTCCTGAGCACAAGTTTTTCTTGTGTTCCCTAATCTCAGTGTAGTACAATAGTTAAACTCTTATTCTGTTAGCCAGGCACTACAGCCCTGCTGTCTGATCTTCTGTACTTGAAGAGAAGGAGTAGAGGGGTGCAGGTTTCTGAGTTTTGTACAATCATAATGGACTAGAATCACAGTTAGAGCTGAGGTTCAACATTTTCTTTCCTCTTTTAATTACTATTTGTTAGTAAGAGTGTTTGAATATTGGAATGAGCCAGTAACCTGTGAATTAAACATGTGGAACTCCCACAGCTTGGTTACTCATTTTTAATTATTTTTATTAATTTCTATGATAAAATAAAATGTTGTAAAAGTGCACATGTACTCATTATGTCGCTTTATGCAGTGATTACGTTAAACACAATAAGAGCTTGTTTCCTAACACAGGTAGCAACATGTTCATGACACAGTAATTCAAACTTACTCTTGCTGTTCAATTTTGATCTCAATTTGGCCTTCAAACAAGCACGTCCGAAATGGGAACATTCAAGTGTGGTCTGATGATGATGGCCAAAATTTTTTGTGAACAAAACAATAAGATTTAATTTACCAGTGCATGACTCAAGAGTTATTCATATCCTGGTTATCAGCACTCTGAGTAATTAAATCCTGCATGAACAGGACCCTCCCTTTGAGAAAGATTCTCCCTCAGGTCTGTACAGGAGTCCAGCCCAACACAGTGCCACATCATTCAGTCCAACCGTCAGAATCTCTCTTCCTTCGGTGCCTTTGCCGTTTCAGCACACCCGGACTCTAAGCTCAACGAGCAGCCAGTGCAGCAGCGCGTGTGCAGGAGTGATGTTTCTCTCTCCCCCAGCCCTGCAGGCAGGAGCAGGCCTGCCCGACACTTTGTTTGACTTGTCTCTCTCTCTCTCTGCCCGCCGCCCCCTTCGCAGGCCACAGTTTCCTGATCCTGTAAATTTAGCAGTAGAGCTGCAAGCATCCGGAAGCCCCATGCCCTTATCGCTACAGGGCAGCGCTGCAGCATCGCCTGTGGGAGGAAAACGCGCCCATTTCCCCTCCCCCCCCACTCCCCCCTTTTAACAGAACGCGGGGAAACTCTAAACTCACGACAGCACCTTTCCAATCTCGGTTCGACACGAGAACTCAAAGCAACCATTGGGATAACAAGCAGTTACTTGTTACTCGGTTTCACACAACTGACAATGTTTTTAAAGCTGTTCTTCAGCTCTACACAGTGCGCGGCAGGTAGGAGGAAGAAAGGTTTTTGCCCATTGGGGATATGTGCATGAACAGATCTCTATACAATGCATAGATGCACACACCCATGTCATTTCAGACAGGCCAGCGTGGTGTGCACAGGCCTCGCGTGTTGGATGCACACGCTTGGGCAGCCTGGGAGAGTGCAACGCAGCAGTAAGTGTCCTCGGATCACGTTTGCCCGTGTGTCGTTGTGAGCGTGTGTGTCAGGGATGTGAGTGTGTGTGTTGCTCCTGATGCCAGCCCGTTCCTCCCTCCCTCTCCCTCTCTCTCTCTCTGTGTGAGGCTGTGTGCCCGATGCTGGCAGGCTGACTCAGCGCAGCACAGCCCAGAGAACAGAACACTGCGCTCCGGAGCTGGCGAGGGCTAAGATGCTCGCAGGAGATATTTACAGCCCTCCGCCTCCCTGAGTGCCGCGCGGAGATCCTATTCTTATCCCCGCTGACGTGAGGGGCCTAACGTCACCACGCCAACGTGGCTCCATCCCCCAAACCAGCGTCTCTCCCTCCCTCTCCTTCGCTCTCCTTCACTCGTAGTCCCTGCGTGGCTATTTATGGAGCCCCCCCACCTAAAAATAGACTGCCTTCCTCCCCCCCAAATCTCTGCCATCCATTTGCCAAACCTAGAAACGGGTTGCCCGCGGCAACACAGCTACCTCAGGACAGGAGTGTCGTCTTTGAAATTTTCAAAGAACAAAGGTGGGAAAAAGGCAGCAACCATGATGAGCATCTCTGAGCGTCCGTCTGCTTTACAGAAACGAGGAAATAAAGCTCGGGGACAGTCCGGCCTGTGACCGGTACAGGCTGGTCCAGCTCAGAAATGGCCAAAGGAGCTTATCTGTATCTGATGCAGTCACACAGACTAGGCAGACACAGACTTGCAGGCTCACAAAGGCGCACCCAAGTACACACAGCTGTACACACTCACAGCAGGTGCACACACTCTCACACAGGTGCACACTCTCACACAGGTGCACATGCTCTTACACAGGTGCACACACTCACACACTCACACAGGGCTCTAGACTGTAGTAGACTGGGATAAGGGGTTCTAGACTGTAGGACACTGGGGTACAGGGCTCTAGACTGTAGGACACTGGGGAACTGGGCTCTAGACTGCAGGACACTGAGGTACAGGGTTCTAGACTGAGGACACTGGGGAACTGGGCTCTAGACTGAGGACACTGGGAAACTGGGCTCTAGACTGAGGACACCGGGGAACTGGGCTCTAGACTGTAGAAGACTGGGATATAGAGTTATAGAATGTAGGACAATGGGGTACAGGGTTATAGACTGTAGGACACTGGGGTTCAGGGCTCTAGACTGTAGTACACTGGGGTTCAGGGTTATAGACTGTAGGACACTGGGGTACAGGGTATAGGAGACGGGATTACTGGATTACAGATTGCAGGGGATTTAAGTATGGGGTTATAATGTAGGAGACTGGGGTACAGGGTATAGAAGACTGTAGGACACGGGTGTTCAGGGTTATAGACTGTAGGACAATGGGATAAGAGAGTGAAGGAATGTACTTTCCCTGACAATCCATTGAAATCGAGGAATCCATGTGAGGAATACAAGCTTGTTGCAGCTTTGCTGTCTCAGGGACTATAGGATTGTTGCGTGTGTGTTGTATATAGGAGTGTAAGACTCCCTCATGTGACAAAAAGTGTGTAGTTGTGCTCAGGTTTAGCAGGGGTACATGCAGGACACCCAGTTATAGCACGATCGCACACCTTGCTTAAAAGCCCTAGAGAGCATTTCCATACACCCCTATAAAACAAAAAATATTAGGGCAGTGCAGTGGCTCTGTGGCTCAGGATCTGCACCTGGAAGGCTGCCGGTTTGTATCCCGCGGCCGGCAGAGGAATCCTACTCTGCTGCGCCCCTGAGCAAGGCCCTTAACACCAACTGCTCCAGGGGCGCTGTACAATGGCTGACCCTGCACTCTGACCCCCAGCTTCTCTCCTTGTCTGTGTGTCTGATGGAGAGCAAGCTGGGGTCTGTGAAAAGACAAATTCCTAATACAAGAAATTGTATATGGCCAATAAAGTGGTCTTGTCTTATCTTAAAGTTAATTTATCTTTACACCCCAATCTCTTTCAGCTATGATCCAATGTTGTTGCATTCTGTACCCAAAACATATTTTCAATAGGTTAAAGCATGAAATAATTACATTATACTGATTTCTGTTGGTTATTCATCCAGCCTATCAAATTACTTAAAATATTCTAATGGGTTAACTTTTAAAAGCTGTGAGTAGTAAAGTTTGTAAACGCTGAGTTCTCATTTAAGACACTAGGTCCTATTCTGGACAAGTGTTTGTACTTCACAAATGACTACACAGCTCTTCGCCTCCGGCTTGAAATGCTGCTGTCAGGACTGAGCAGTGTTTGGGAAGGTTGCTCAAAATGTTTTGTATTTTTAATTGAAAACCATTTTTAGCTGAAATGGCGGGGGGGGGGGCGGGGGGACTAGTCACATGATTAGTCACCAGGCACATTGACAGTGACTGAGATCCACTTCCCCAGCTTGAACAGCACCGGGTCCGCCCATTATAGTTCCTTTGTTTTTCAGAGCTGGCTCCTGCTGGGGTGACAGGTTTCTCTGAAAAGGTGAGCTGGAGGTGAGTTGCTATGCCGTTGTTGACGAGCCCCGAATAAAAAAGGGAAAGAGTGCGTTTCCCGCCAGCGACGTAGCCGGCCTGCCCTGGACCGCCGCGTGCGTCGCGGAGTAACGGCAGCAGATTAGTCAGCTCCCGCGCCCAGTGCTGACTGCTATTCTCTGACACAAGAGTGCCTTTTAATAGCGCAGCGGATATTTTTATCCGGCAGGAATGCAGAGGAGGGGGGCGGCAGCTGAGAATAGCAGGGAGCTGGCTGGCCGCGCGCAGCCTCACGGGGGCCTCACGGGGGCCCAGTCCGCGGGCCGGCTCTGGGCATCGGTGTCCGGGAGGGTACCCCAGGGAGGTCACAGAGCTGCCCCAGCGACATGAGCATGCCATATCAGAGTCCCGCCGTTGAAAGCACAGGCATGACGAAGCACAGAAAGGCGTCATGGCCGTCCACTGCAACCAAGGGTGTCTCCAGTGGTGACGACTATTCGTACCGCTGGACCCAGGCTTCTGGGGTTGAGAGAGTGGGACTGCCCCAGGGCAACGGCTTTCCCACTTCCAGATGGCTCCCCTGCACAGGTTTCTTCACGCAGCTCATCTCCCAAACAGGTGAGCTGCACAAAGTACAACCATCATCGTCGGACACGACAGACAACCCACTACCTTACAAGCAGCCATGGGAATTGTAATGACGAAGTAATCATGATCTCGGTTTAATAACTCGTCTGAAGCATGGCACCTCCTCCAGCAGGAGGTCTCTGGTCAGGTGGAAATGGTGGTCCAGGGGGAAAAGCGCCACCTACACCACTGACAGTGGCGATCTGTGGGGCAATCTCCTGCCCCAGCCTTGCCCAGTGGGATATCCGAAGAGATGAGGACACAAGGAAGTGTCTCTCTCTCTCTCTCTCAGTATAATTGCTTACACACTTCTTGGACAGGTTCTACTTTCAGTATGTCGTTTTTTCTTGAAACGCTAGCCAGCTGGGACCAGGATCCCCTGGCTATCCCCTGGGGCATGATGGGATTGGTCGGTCTGGGCCCCTGTCGCTGCCACCGGCCTATTCCTCCAATCAGCACCGAGCCTCCGGCACGGGCCTGCGCCGCCGGCCACGTTACAAGACGAGCGTCTCGAAGGGCGAGAGGAGGAGTGTGTACGCCCTGCCTCGCTCTCCTGTGCGCGGTCTCCTTTGCCTCTGCAGGATTCCCCGACTTTCCTTCCACCCCTCATCTCAGAGCTTTAACTCACCTGACCTTCGGCACAGGAAGTTGAATGGACAGTGTTTTAAGCCCCTTGGCGTTTGCCCAGCCCACACCGTCATCTGCGGCCAATCACGACCACCAGAACAGAGCCTCCTGACTGTCACTCCACCAGTCAGGCTTGGGGGACAGGCGGGACCCCCAAAACACAGCCACTG